TCATTGCCCAACTTGTTATAACATAGTCTAGGCTATTCAGCTTAAGCAGTCCTTATTATTGCCCAACTTGTTATAACATAAAGTCTAGGGTATTTACCTCAAATAGTCTTGTTGCCTAATTTGTTATAACATTGTCTAGGCTATTCAGCTTAAATAGTCACTGTCATTGCCTAACTTGTTATAACATATAGGTTCTTTACCTCAAATAGTCCTTATCATTGGCTAACTTGTTATGTCCTTGTCTTTGCTATAGTCTACTTTACATACTAGATTAGACTAAAAGTTGCATTTCGATCCAGTGACTTGGTTGATTTCTGATGTTGGACATTTATGAAAATATTAGGCTAGCTAGGATACTTCTTATTCACTATTCCTTGTAGGAATATAAACTGTGATGTTCTTATATTGTTTCTGAATAAAGGTACATTTGATGCAATATTCATCTACATATGTTGGTATGTGACCATGCATTGCCAGGCCCTACACAATGCAGCCGTTAACTGATAAAAATGACAGTTGATGGAGCTTGGACACATATCAGGTTATAGTCTACTGCTTAATTGACTTCCACCAGATACGCTGTACGATACCTCTACATCACATTGAAGTTGGACTGTAGATGTACTAGTATCTATAGGTGATTGATGTGTTGGCCTGAGGCCTGTACCCAGGACCCTAGATTTACCTGTGATTTACCTGATGTGCACCTAATGCTGGTACTATAAGTAATATATATCAATCCCCAGCTAATGTTTGACACTGGCCAGGAATGTCTGCTGATATCCTACAGTAACAGCTGTCTTAATCAATAGTAAGTGTTTTTTTGTCCCTCTGATATAAGGTTGTTTCTCAGTTTTTTCCTGCTATATTTATACCTACCTCTGTTATATCCTTCATTGTATGGTCGAGACTTAATATTTAACATACAAAGACATATTATGAAGCCAGTACAGTGGACAAATACGGCGACATCTGCTGCAGAAGTTATTTCTGCTGATGTGACAATGCTGCAGCTTCGGTTGTAATGGGATTATAGGCCTCCCTTGTGTTGGTCTAATAGCTCTTACAAATGTTTTCTATGCATGGTTTCTATTAATACTTTGTGGAATGGACTTGTGTTGATATTATATATCAATGTGACTCTGACAGTTCATAAAACATTGACCTCTCCTTCAACTTGAATCATACTGTAATTAATGTATGATATTGTGTAAGTGAACCAAACTGATGGATTTAAGAATTATTACAAAGGACATTTCTATCTAATGCACTTTCGCCATTATGCTGCTCAATAAATATTTCAGTTACGGTATAAATACACATTTATATTTAAGAAGCAACTGATTAAGAGAAAATGTTCTTTCAATGTTTTCTGCTAGCTTACAATTTATAACTGTGATGTACGTGTGTTAAAGTTAATGATCTACGATAGCTTACAGATTATACGGTAATACCTGTGATTTGATTTAGAGTTAAAGAAATAAACCTTGTGCATTATACCTTTGATATGATTTGGAGTTAAAGCTATGTTACCTTATGCATTATACCTTGATTTTGAGTTAAGGATATATGCTACCTTACACATTATACCTGTGATGTGTATGAGAGTAAAGGATATATATCATTCACTTGTGTTATCTCCCGTAGAATAATTATGTAAGAATTATCTCATAGTTCATAATTATCAATTATCATTACACACATTCCTTTGCACATTTCAAATGACATCAATTTATTAATCCCAGATTACCATTCCTTACATTTCATGTGTTTCTTAAAATTGAAACTCGTTAGGATGTATATAAGTCGGGGAGATATATTTATACTAACTACTTTCTAACAGGATAAATCTGGTAGCTAGTTTTGTACACTAAACAATTTCTTGCTCAGCGCTGCTTGTGTATTTTCTGAGAAGTTTAACATCATGCACAGGAATTTACAAATGCCAATATGCATATTTGTTTTCAACTTCTGGTTTATACAGATCTCTTTCCTTTATATTTCAACAGATAAGAGAAATCCCTACAAGAATGGTTGAAGTTGTGTGATGATCAGATGTTTGCAAATCCTATGAAATTGAATCTTTACGCTTTAGCACATTCAACAGCAAGTCAATTATATTCATAAGATCTTTGTCCGAAACATGTTTTTCTCCATAAATGAGATTTACAATGGGCTTTTGTATGTGTTACTATGGAAACAAATGACATTGATGTTTGTCTTTTAGACTGCTGGTCAGGAAATGGGCTTTATGCAACAAACCCATTCAGTTGTGATCGGGTCTTCATGGTAAAAGACCGTAACCAGAGTTAGGGAAATATGATTTGGGGAGAATGGTTTGGATGGCTAATCAATATTGACTTCATTATAAATATCGCTCAGTAAAATATTACAATGTCCAGACTAGCTACTTCGTTATCTGAGTTTAATGTGGCTTATTGTGGATTGAGGAGTCATTCCCTATTGATTAACAATAATGGAGGTGTAGGATGTGAGATCCTGAAGCTGTGTTTACTCTGATACCATTCTGGTCACTGAACACACTGGCATGTATACATGTTTCTTCAGTTCAGGAAATTATTACATTGTTTTTTTATTGCAGTGTACGGTTCATAATCAGTGTCTGCATCTAAAATCAATACAAATGGTATTAATTTACAGGATTTTTCGTGTAAAAGATAATTCAATAAGACTGGATATATTTTATTGTTTTGCAATAAAAAAAGTGAGTCATTGAAGATAGGAATTACATGAGGAATCAAAACTGAGGAAAGATCGGTAAACAGATCTATGGATATAGATTTTTATGAAGGTTCCTTGTAAATCTTAAATTCCAGTTCATTCATAGTGTTTGGTTTTCATTTCAATTTGGTTTTGTAGCTTTGGGTATAACCACTAGCAGTGGTGAGGTGAATATGATGTTACTATCTGTTGAGTGTATGTGTAAGGCTGGAAGAGTTATCCCCCTTACTATGACAAAAATACTGCAAAGTGTACTGACCTATGATGTTATTGTTGTGTGTTTTAGACTCCTCGTCACCTTAGTAAAAGACTGACACAGCTGTAGGCAACTATGGGAAACAAAAGTGGTAAGCAGAAGAAAAAGGATAAGGAGACGAAGAACAAAGAGGAGGGAGAACAAAAGGTAAACGGTACGGCTGAGGAGAAGCCTGCTGAGGAGGCTGTCAGTGACACACCTGCAGAGAACACTGAAGCAGCTAATGATAATGAGAATGAAGGTGAGAAAGGCGGTGGGGGTGATGGTGGTGGGGAGGCATGTCAGGAGGATAAGGCTGGGGACCAGGCACCAGAACAAACTATTACTAACACTAGTGAAATAAAGGCTGACAGTGACAGTAGTTCACCAGCTCCTGCGAGTGCAGGAAAAAGTGAACCAGTACAAAGTGTAGATAATAGTAATTCTGATACAAAGGAGGAAGTGAGTCCCCCTGTACAGACAGCGTCTGCTCCTGTAGTAGAAAGTAGTGAAACTGAGAAAGTGGTAGAGGCAACAAAAGATGAATCAGTTAGTGAAACAAAACCTGCTGTTATGGAAACAGCTGAACCTAAACAGGAAACAATAGTAGCAGTGCAGCCTCCTACACCAACGGAAGAGGAACTACCAGAGGAGCCACCATCTCCACCTGCACCTTCGGAAGAGCCACCAGCTCCACCGGCACCTGTGGAGGAGCCACCAGCTCCACCTGCACCAGTGGAAGAGCCACCAGCTCCA